AGTTGTGAACAGTTAACTCAAATTACCATGTTAACAAACCAATTTGAATAGGATTGTTTGCACCAATACACCCACACAAAGGTTCAATGGCGACATCTTTATTGAAAGCTGAAAACCCGTGTTGTCTGTGCCAGTTTGTCCTCGTAATCTAATCACCAACGCGCTCAACCATCCAAATCGCGAATCTTCTTCAGGTGTCCGCACTGGTCACACTAAAACCGGTGCCATACCTCCTGTTGTTTTCTCTGCTGCTCTGGGGAAGGCAAAAGCTCGTTAAGGAACAGATGAGCTGCATATTTTTCTGCCTTCCCCCTTCAAACTAAATTTAAAAAAAAAATGAATTCTAAGGTTTTTCAATTAGCTCCACACGTGTCGTACACATTCACTGATAAATGGAACGCAGCCATAAGAAGAACAATAAAATCAAATAGCGAGCGTACCGAAAAAAAAAAATTGAACAAAAACCGTTAAAAGCGCAGTATATGTAGCCAACTTCCTTCTCGTAACGACCGTTCGCCCGTCCGTCTCGGATAACACATTGTTAACAGCTCCCCCAAACTCCGCACATTTACTTTTCTTCTTTTTTTTTGTATTTTTGCGAGCGTGCGCAAATTCACTCAGTGCATATATTTCCCTGATTTCGCGAAAATGTTTTCCCCTCTCAAAATTCGGCGCGACGACCTCCTCATTATTTCTGAGCCGTTTCCGAATAGCGAAACGGCAAACACACATAATCGCACGAACATAGACTTCTTTTTTGTGTCTGTGTGCCCCTTTGTGTCTGTGTGTGCGTGTGTGCATGTGCGCGTCTGTGTGTATATTTGTCTCTGTCTGGTGGGCTTGTGTCTGTGTCTCCGTGTGTGTCTGTGTGACAGCTTCGTTAGAATGCGTAGCACATCCCGTTTTCCCGTCTCCCCGTTTTTGAACCACCCCCTCCCTATTTAATTTCCTCCGGTCTGTGGGTTCTATCCGGCGAACACGTCGGGCGATTTGAAGCCTTGCGAAATTATTGTCGTCGCTGCGAAGATCGGGCCACGGAGTCGTTTTGTGGGCCTGTGCATGGGAAAACGGAGCTATCTAAAGTCTACAAACACTGGAAACGTGTTAGGAAAAAACAAGAAAAAAAGGTAGAGGTGAGGAGAAAGTGCTTTTAAAAACCTAGAAGAGAACGAAAAAAACGAAAAGGAGTACATAGTTTAAGTGTGGATTCCCAGCGAATGCGAAGCTATATTCTGCAGTATTCTTAATTCAAGCACAAGTTATCAAGCACGGCGCCAAACAATAAGCAATTTCTTTTTTAAATAGGTTTCTAAATGCTGTCTCACAAAATCGGAACTTTTTTTTTGTTGTTGTTGCTTTTGGGAATACGGTATTTTGGTGTTAAGTCAGAAATCAGAAATGCAGCGGACCTGGTGAAGATAAGTAGACGAGTATAATATTGATCGCAAGATTGTCTAGACTCCAGCCCACTGTTTATATAGAAGCGCGCTTGCCCCGGTGTTTTATTTTTCTGTTATTTTTTTTTCTTCTAGACGAAGGTTTTGAGTAGGCTTTGTTTCGCCGCAAGCACCACCGTCATGGCGTGACATTAGAAATAGGATATGGAGTAAATAGCAGAAGTGATCAGTAGCCTTTGGGGCCCTTTGAATGGAAGGAGACAGTGATTTAAGTAATTGTTTGTCTAAGGTTACAGCAGGGTTCCAAAGCCGGGTGAAGCCTTTAAATTTGCCGCATAAATCGGACTGGTAAGTTATCGCACGACGATTTATTACAGAGGTGCCTGAAGGTGGTGGAAACATCGCATCGAAATTTTAAAGAACGAACCAAAAGCAGACGACATGCAGCTGCTTGAGGAATCATCGGTTTTATTTAGTTTTTGTTCATTTAATGTGCTCTTTCGGGAACGAAAAAGAAACCATCCTCTGACCATTATTGTACCAAAAAAAGTCCGAGGACACCGAAGCACTTCGTATGAGTTGTGAATGCAAAAGCATGACTGTAGTTCTTCCGCTCCCTTAGTTCGTCTGCGGCGTAGTGGCATGGACGGTCATGTTTCGACACTGCCGAGGTAGCGGCCGACGATCGAGAGCGCACTCTCGTGAAGTAGCCGCGCCGCACTGAGCTTGGCCGTACAACGTCTGCGGAGTTTGCCCGGGCGGGCTTTGGGGCCGGGCCCGCACCGCCGCTCCTCGCAAAGTCGCTGCGTGCGCTGCGCCGCCATGGAGAGGGCTTCTCTGGTGGCGATGTTTGGAACTACGCCGCACGAGAGCCAATGGGAGCCTCGTTCCTTGATGACGCGCGCCAGCCAATGGGAGCCTATCAATCAGAAATTGGCTTCCCTTTGCTCCGTTTGAGAAGGTGAATTTAGCTGCCGTTTTGCGCGGCTTTTTGCGCGGCTTCAAAACTGGGAGGCCTCAGATCGCGGCTTCACTTCGCTTTCATTGGGAGAGGGGAGGTTAACTGCCGTTCGGCGCGGCTTCAAAGCTGATGAGGTCGACTCGCTCCATGGGACCAGCTAATGCTTTCGCATTAAAAAGCGCGTACCGCTTGCGATAAGAGAAGGATGTCAGCTTTTAGAGCGATCGCACGGCTGCTGCGCTGCCTTAAGCCGCCGAGGCAGCTGCCGCCATCTGTCGGCTGTTGCACCCGCTGAATTCTGTGGAATTAGTAAATAAACGCTTTCAATTAAAAAATATATATTGTTTGTTTGCTTTTTTTTTTACGCGGTAGTTTATAGGGTTAGTTAACTTCAGGAGCCGCGTAAGCACGCAATGCGTAGGTCAGCCAGTCCGTAACCGCGAAACGATCTTGGGAAAAAAAACGGCAACCGGTGCCAAGGACCGAATCCCGATCAGCGGTGTGGAAGGCGCGTGCGCTGCTGACTGAGCTACAGACCGAGCACGCAGGCACCGCAGGAGCAGAGGCAGGTGGTGTGAGAAAGTGCGCAAAATAGAAAAAAAATGAAACGGGCAAAAAAAAAAAGAGAGAGATGCAGGAACAGGTGGCGCAGAAGGAGTGCCCTGAACAAAGAGGGGAAGAAAGAGCAGAAAAGCGCGCTTTCGCTCTCTTGCTGACCGAGAAAATTCTGCGCAAAGGCTTCGTATCCGGATTGTGCTGAAGGGAAACGCGCGCAGCGTCACAAAGAGACAATGGTGAGACGTAATCTGTTTCCATACAAAACCCTGTCCTAGGCATTAGCTGAACTAAGAGCACCACCCACCCCGTGCACTGAAACACTAAAAGTCATCCTGCCCTGCACCACCCGAACAAATGGCACCATATAAATGCAGTTTGGCAGAATGACAAAACATGCAGCTAATTTTTACTCTTTACTCATGTAAGTTTGTTCTTTGAAAATGCGATAGGATGCTCTTATGTGGTAAATCCTAGCGTGATACATAACCAAACCGATTTATGTGGCAAAGTGGAAAGTTGGGCCAGTTGGTTCATATTCACATATATAAAAACGCCAAAAACGACAGGGACAAAGGGTGGAAACCACACAAGGCGCGGTCACTTGAAAGGCTTCGCCCGGCTTCGGGGACCTGCTCTATATGTTCAACTTAGTTAAACATATTTTAGGATCAACGGGTTGTTTGTGAATTCTACTGAAGCAAGTATACCGCTGAGATGTTGCATGATGCAATGAGCCCGAGCCAAAGACGGCGCCGCGTCGCCGCAATGAGCACTGCGTTACCGCAAACGGAGAAGAATTGCCGCAAGTAGCTCTTCGTCGCGAGAAAATGGCGGTACGTCACCGATAATTTTAGCAGGCCGATAGGAACACTTGGACTAGCCAAGGTGGGGCATGATGGGTGGCGCCTTGGCAAGGACTAGCGACGTTTATGGTCACTGACAATTTAAGAAACGCAGGGCGTGTCGACTATCGGCTATCTTCTTGTCGCTGCTCAGCCAATGAGAATGCGGGCCTTGCTGATAGGAACGCCGAAGGGCAAATCATGCGGTCCTTGTGGGGGACCCAACGCTTTGGGTCCCCCGTAAGCAGCTTGGGGAGTCGCACTGCGCATGCTCCGAAGTTCTGCAGCGCAATGCCCCCAAAGCTGCTCGGGGGAGCGTCGGGACCCTCTATGACTAGAACTCCCTAATAGCCGGTAACCTCAGCTGACCAATTGCAACACTTGGGAACACCGAGCTGGTGCGTGGTTAAATGCGCGTGAACAATAAATGACGACGCTTCGCCGACAACGACGCCAAAGCAGACCAATACAGAGCGCAATTTCGTCTGCTTCTTTTGTGGGGGATGTGGCAACGTCAGAGCGCCGAGCTTTGATTGGCTTTGATTGAAGGATAGTGGGTAGACCTCGAAGCAAGCTGTCTTGATGTATACCCGCTGTCCTTCAATCGGACCCGATCAGAGCTGGGCCTTCTGGCGTCACCACAACTCCTGCAAAAAGAAGCAGACGAACTTGCGTTCGCAAAGACCGAATGCTAAATTACCCGAGTTTCAAGGAGAATGCGGGAATGTCGGTCTTTGAGCCGCACGCGTTCGAAAGATTTGAAGCAAATGTCGAAAATAAGGCGTTGTCGAACGTGCGTGGAAGATGCAATTTGTTTTAGGCTCTTGCTTTAGAACAGTTACTGCTGCACACGCCAGCACGTGCGGCGCGGACCACTACATCCCCAGCATTCTCCTTGATGCCTGGCTAATTTTGCAATATAACTTCGGAGCGCGCTCGGAGTGATCAAAAGGTGATGGTACTTTGACAAGTTGGAATATCCTGTTTTTTTTTCACCAGGATGGCTCAGGCTGCTGCACCTGATAAACACACGCTTCACTTGTCTTCCAGCGGACATACGGTCAACTGGAAAGAAAAATTATAATAGAGTTTTTTTTTACAATAGGGGGGGGGGGGGAGCAGCAGCTTCGGGAACCCAACGCTTTGGGGCCTCCCAATATTCCACAGTTCTCTAATGACTGTCATTCCACTCATCGGTGAATCTTGTGAAGCTAATTCGCGGGTCGTTTTCGTTCCGTGCAGACAAGTACGCCATGTACCCTAGCGGCGAGTTGTACATCCACGACGTGGACGAGAGGGACGCCGAGCGAAGCTACCGGTGCCAGGTTCTGGACCACACGACGAACGCCACCAAGGCCAACACCAGGCCAGCCAAGATCATTCTCAGAGGTGAGCGGGAGCCCGATGGAGCTCGTTCTTCACCCTGCCCACGACAAGGGTGCCGCGTTTTAGTTATTCCCTGTCGCGACTGCGTCCGTGTGTGAGGCATTTCCCCGATATGTAGCGCGTAAAAGGCACAGTCACGCTGCACATTCATCATACAAAAGTCACGGAGTTTCTTTGCAGACATGAAGACAGGATAATCCGCGGACACGCCGCAAGCATCTTCGAAGCATGATAGATTCATACACTTGCATGCTTCGAACCTGTCTGCAGGCAGATTTTGTGTAACCAGTGTGAGAGGATCGTCATATACGAAAAAGAAGCACGCCTCAGACGGTAGAGAGTTTGAGAGAACTTTTTTTGCACATCCGATATGGTACACGATGGGCCCTCCGGTACGAACTGCGCATGCGCTATACCGCAAAAGATTCGCACATGCGCAGTTCGTACCGGAGGGCCCACCGTGCCGTATCGGATGTGCACAAACGGTTCCCTAAAACTCTCTAATGTCTGCAGACCGTATTTTGTATGATGAGTTAGCAGAGCGACCTCGGGTTAACGATTGGCTTTTGTACATTCCAACACGCTGTGTACAAAACAAACCGGTGTTTGCCCATGCGGTGTTTATGAGCTGCCCGTGCGCGTAAACCAGATTTGTGTACACTCGCGTCTTGCAAACAGCTAGCAGCGCCACCGCAACGTCGTGACGTTGGAGCCAGGTGTTGGTTTATGCGGGGAGGGCCTAGACGAGAATCTTGGCGCCTGGAGCCGTGCCACGAAGAGCGACTCATTTAGCCGAACCATTTGGCCTTCGCAAAACGTGTTTCCGAGAAGCAAAATGTAGTTAGGAGATTTGCCGCTGCCGTGGTGTGGCGCTAAGTGCCGAGACGCTTTCAGTCCTTTGAGCTTTCCCTATTTTCGGTGACCCCATTTTTTCGTCTTCCAGGATCTGTGTTTTTTTTTTGTTTTTTTTTACGTGAGAAGATAAGCGCAGATGTATAAGCTAAGAAATTACGTGAATATACCGAAGCGAAACCGCCAGTTACGTTGTTGGTTCTGTAACAGTGAAACTTGTGACTAGAACCCAAGCTGAGGAGGAATGAGAGACGTCTCCCTGTGCTTAAAAAAAAAAAGGTCCAGGATACTCATATAGGACATGAACACATGCGATAGCACAACCGTCATGCTGTTCGGTCGCTACAAAGACGGTTTGATCGACCCCGTCTTTCATGTTTCGTTTGTTTGCTTTTCGAGGCGAAAAAAAAATGGTGAGTGCGTGGAAGCGGAAGTGGCACCGAGCCCGAGCTGGCCCGAAGTGAACCGGACATAATGGGCGTCCGAGTAGCACTTCGCACTCGCTGAACCGCGAACCCGGAACCCCGTTTTTCTGATGACAGTACGACGAGACGGCAGGCTTGTTTGCGATCGAAACCTCGGGGTCCCGACGCTGTCACGCTAGTCCGGCGACCGGCCCGAACAGTTCGCCCCCGACGACGTCCGAACCCACTTTCGAGCGGAACAATTGAGCTGCCCTCCATTGGAAAGAGCAAGGAAAACAAACACAAAAAAAGGCAAGCAGAAATAGGAGACTAAATTACGTGCACCTATTGAGCTAGTTGGGTTCATACTTGTTAATGTGGACAACTGATTTTTTTACAAAACACCGAAGGTAAAGCACCGACTTTTTTTTTTTTAGAGCGCAGCTCTTAGGGGTCCGTTTCCGGCTTAAGTGGCGTCGCCGTCGCCGTCGGCGTAACCGCGAGGTCACGGGACACCCCCCCCCCCCCCCCGATGTCACGTGACCCCCAAGGTCATGCCATCTCGGGGGGAGGGGTTTCACGTGGCCCCCTGAGGTCACGTGACCGCCTGAGGTTACGTGACACCCCCCCCCCCCCCGCAGGTCACGTGATTCTCCTGAGGTCACGTGATTCCCCTGAGGTCACGTGACCCCCTCCCCCGAGGTCACGTGACCCCCCTGACGTCACACGACCCCCGTGAGGTTACGTGACCTCAAGGAGTCACCTATCCCTCAGTACGCTTCCATCCTCCTCCTCAAGAGCTGCGCTCTAACCGGCGTTACAGGGAATGGTAAACGGCTTTCATTTTTTTTTTATCTGTCACCGTTTGTAATATAGGACAGGCCGTGTTTGAAGAAGAAAGATGTCTGAACGGCACCGCCTACAATGAAGCAAATGTGTCGACGGTTCGCTTGCATTTCTGGCAAACGCCTTGAGATGCGCAACAGGACTATGGGGGATCGAGGAACCGTCTTTATTCGCGCACACTTCTTCAAGACCACGTGGCGGGCGAAAGTTTGTCCCCCTGTCTCACCTTGTGCAGACACTCCATTATTTTTCCACCGTGGGAGAGGCTATGGAACTTTGTCTTTGACCGGGAGAAGATCCGAGTAAACGCGTAATCTAAAAAATACATCAGCGGAATCAAGAGAAACGATCAGTTACATGATTGGCTCTCTAAACGTAGCGTGTTTCATTTGAACTGATGTAGCTTGCAATCTAAAACAGAGTGGACGAGGACACGGTGGTCTCCTTGTCCACTTCTTTACCTTTGTGTTTCGAAAGAAAAAAAAAAAATCTGCCCACAAATTATCAAGTACACGAAACAATGGAAACGGTAAGCCGTCCGTTATCTTGGTAATGGCATCATCGTCGGTAACGTCATGTCTAATATTCAGCAAAACTGATGGATGAATGTCGATACTGGACATATGTATATCCATTCCTAAAGACATTTTCCACTGGAGCGCTGCCATCTTGAATTGTCGTCACTTCCAGTATGGGCGACGACAAAATAGTAAAACGTTTCAACCTGTAACTAGTAAAAAAATAGAGGGGAGCCAGAACGAGAATGTGTGACGGTTAGGCTTATATCCTAAATGTCTTCTATTGGCCTGGTGACGGCAAAGTAATGTTTTCGCCCATACTGGAAGTGACGACAATTCAAGATGGCGGCGCCCTTGTGGAAAAGGTCTATAAAGCATAATTAACACGGTGTGATATTTCTTGAGATTTCGCAGCTGCGACGTCGGGCACCACCACGTTTGTTTGTTTTTATTCATTTATGTTAATTTGTCTTATTTTATTATTATTTTTTGTACATTTTGCACGACCCGCAATCTTTTAAGTAAAAACGGACCACGGGAATCGAGCATGAAGCAGATCCTATGCGGAGCGGAAGTTCGTCTGCTTCTTTTGCAGGCGTTGTGGTGACGTCATAAAGACGCCGAGCCCTGATTGGCTCCGATTGAAGAATAGTGGGTAGACCTCGAGGCAGCTTGCTTTGAGACCTACCCACTATTCTTCAATCAGAACCAATCGGAGCTCGGTGTCTTTCTGACGTCACCACGTGACACCTGCAAAAGAAGCAGACGAACTTGCGGCGCTCCGCATATGCTTCGTTCACTCCAAGCTGAGAGTGCGGTGGAAGCTACGTGCTCGTTAGACCGGTTATACGTCTACTACGTCATGCCACGTGATCACGCGCTCGTCTCGCCCTCGCCCCTCCCCCACACGCCCAGAAAGCGAGGTCAGGTGATGAAAGGAGGGGGTTGGTTCGTCCTACGAACGCGATGCTCCCACCGCACTGCACTGCACCGCCAGATTAGGGGTGAACGCGGTTATTTTATTAGCCCCGAGAAGTTTGCGTGGCGCCCCCGTACGGCGAACCGGGGTGAAGTCACGGCGAGGACAGAGTTTTGCCCTGACTCGCCCCGATCGCCCTGTGGAGGCTGTGGTGATATTAGCAGTCGGCGCGCTCGTGTGTGTATAATTTTGTTTTTGCGTGTTTTTGCAGGAAGTGTATATTTTCATATGCGGCTTTATTGAGGTATGGCCTGTAGCTGCAGGCCAAACTTCAACCGACATTTCAGGCATGGTTGACAGGACAGGCAATGCATGAATCGCAACTAGTATCTAAAAAAAAAAATATGGTCACACTTGCAGGGGCATCGCTATAGATTTACATCTCACGCAATCGATGTTGTTGGTGTTCTGAAGGAATTGGTAGATTATGTACTATTTCGGTGTTTTTACTTTGTATCTCTATTTTTAAACAAAAACGCCGAAGCAGAAAATCTGCATGTTGCTCGAGCAACATGTTAAACATAGCATGGGCCATGGAGAGAGAATCACAAGTGAGACAGCCCGAGTACAGGGACAAAGTAAAGAAAGAAGGAACACTGGCATGGGTACCAGTTATTTGTTTATATCTGTTTATATTGCTCACATTTGGTCTTTGCTGGATTCGGATAATATTTCAATGGACTCCACCGGTGGTACCTGTTTATATCACTCAAATAATGTACAAAAGACGTAAGTGAAGGTGTTTAGCCCGTTATTAGTCCCTTCTCGACATTTACGTTCTATAGGCTCTATAAGTGAGATTTTAGCTAAATCAAAATGTCCTGACGCTAAAATACCAGAAGTTTTTTTCACGCAAACTGTTACTCTTGAGAGGTTCCACATTTTTGTGTGACTGGTGCAGCATCTTCCACTGGACAGCCGTTTGAACACCTGCTGTTCCTCCTGTTTTCCTTTGTTGTCAGAAAGTCACTGAGGTAGTTTGGTAGCTAAGGAAGCTTTTGGGATCTGCAGCAATGTATCTTTTACCTTGAAATGACAATTTAAACTAAACAGTATATTTTCCGAATCGCAAGGCTGGAATAAAAAAAGATTGCCAGGAAAAATTATAAACATTCCCATTTACGGTACTATTGCTGTGCATATTTTGGCCAGCTCAATACATCTCATACAGGCAACTGGGAGAATTTCGGTCATTTATTCTGCTACCATACAAACTAATTTCCACTAATTGTTCGTCTTCTAAAAATAGAACATGAATGCATAGGTGTACGAAATATATAAATATTTCACAAAAAAGCTACATTTTTTGTAAAAAAAAAAAAAAAAAAAAAAACCTGTCCCACGGGCATTTTAAAGCCCTTCACACACATGGCCCTTAAAACATCTGCGAACCAGCACTTGCAG